TCACAAAGAACACAGCATCCTTTATGCTACTTACTGAAAACTAACAAAATTCGATTTTTAGAAATGCCAGTGCTTTCAAATACCTTGATTTTGATTCATAATGTTGTTGTATTTGTATTTCTCCACATTATAAATATAAATGCCTCTTATCAAAGGTCTGAAACCCACAAGTGCTGCAGCTAAGTACCGTAAGCTAGTAAGTACTATTTTTTTTCTTATGAATCTTTATTGAAACCCAATTAAGAGCCCCTCTATTTAACATAAAATAAATACGTTTAGGGGTTTTGTTTAAATCTTTTGATTTTAAGAACTCAATTGTGCAGACACTGTTACTGCTGTTTCGTAAAAATCAGCGTGCCTGTGCCAGACAATAAATATAGCAGGGTTTGCATCAGCAAAACACATCTATGCTCAGCAGAAAGCATGCAATATTCAAAAATCTTACGCTTCAATTACTTTCTAAGTAATTGAAAGGCATACTTACATTTTTGCAGGTGAGACGCATTCAGCCTCATTCTTATTGATCTTTTTTCCTAATTTGCTCTTCCATGTAGTTTTAACCCGGACCAAACTAAACTCATTTTTTTTGCCTCTGGCATCACTGTTACACTCATGTGCTTTTCCCATTTTGCAGTTATAAATTGAAGGTTGTTGAAAGAGGAGAGAGCTTATAACAGCTTTCATAAAAATCCTGTCAAAAGAGCTGTTATATAGTGGACAGCATTACATAGCCTGTCACTGAGACAAGGGAGGAGCACCCTTCAATTCCTATCACATGCCAATACATGTGTCTAATTGTAAGATAACAGGTTTTGAAGGTTAAGTTGTGATAAGGTTATCCAAATGCAGCCTGTTATTTATAAATGAGGTCACTGACAAATGGGACTTAGTATTGGACAATCTCATTCTGAATGGGATAAAAGCTGTCTATAGTAGAAATCAGGATCAGTAATTCTTAGTATTGTGTACATAGTTGCACAGTTTTAAAATATACCTAAGCAGTTTAAACAAGCTTTAGACTTTCATTTAATTGCATGTGGAGTGAAACGTTCAAAAGTCTAACTTTACTCGACAGCTGTAATCTAGCTATTTGATGCAGCGACAAAGCTGCTTTTCATAACTCGTTTGTTGAGTTGTGTAAGAATTACTTTTCTCAGAAGCGGCAAAGTTAAAAAAGTATAAAACCAATTACCAGATTCTGTTTGTAGGGACACAAAGCAAACACTGTGCTAATATTTATAGTCAGAGAGGCACTTCATTGATTAGAGGGCAAAAAAATGCTTGATTCATACTATATCCACACTAAGGCTGGACACATGGCTTGATGTCCCCTTAAGAGAATTTTGATCAGCTATGTTTATTGGGAGTTGACACTTTAGAAGTGAAAGAAACAGCAAATACTTTACTTATAGAACCTACTGTGCAGTGGCGGATCTAGGGGGCGGCTACTTGGGCTGCAGCCCCGGATGTTTCCCCTAGAGCCCCGGATCTCGCTTATGAGCTGATCTGAGTAAAATGTGCAGTACTGGATTTCACCAGATGGTGGCAGCAAAGGCAGGAAAGCAGCCCGTAGCATTCCCGTGCAAAAGAAGAAGTTCTCACCAATGGCTGTTGCTAAACAGACTGATGTTACAGGGATGTGAAGCTCTGACTGACTTCCAGGGCGTTTCTCAATTGACGAGAACGCGAGTACGTACTCGCGTTCTCGTCAAGTCCGTTCTTGGCGAGAACGCAGGAAGAGCGGACTTGACGAGAACGCGAGCACGCAAGCATGTATGTGTATTGGAGCAGAAGCGTACTCGTGACGTCATCACATGCAACGTTGTTTAGCATTTCTTTAACAGTCAAAACTATTTATTCCCTACACAAAACATGTTGAAAACAATATTTTTAATTTCTAAAGCTTAAAAAACATTAAAAAAAATTACCGAACCGCAAAAAAACGCCATCAGAACGAGCGGTAATTTACACATAACTAGACCGAGAGAAGTGCACTACAGACGGGGTAACATTAGCCCTGGCTGCGGTTACCCTCGGAGGTCTGCTGGTCACTCTGGTCCGCTCAATGTCGGACTTTTTTTTTTAATTTCGCACTAACTCTGTAAACAGACCACACAGGGAGGCTTAAATGTATAATGTTATCGCCTCAAACGATTTCAAAACATACTTTTGAAGAACAACAGCAGCAGAAAAGGGAATGTTTAACTTAACACTGTGAGCGCTGTCTGGAATCAAGCTGCGGCCGCGGTGCATTCTGGGGAAGCGGTCAGTCTGAAGAACGCACAAGTCTGCTCTGATGCATGCTCGATAAAGAGGGCGGGGTGAGAACAACATCCGGGGATTTTATGCGTTCTCGATCTGGCGTTCTTGAGAATCGGTCTTTGTCAGCCACGTGACTGACACGCCCCCTAGCGCCATTTTTGTGGTGAGCGGAAGAAAAACAAAACAGCAGAAAACAAGAGGAGAGCGCTGCAAGCCAGCAGCGAGGATTATCAGTTAAATGGAAAAGAACAAGAAAACTGAACGGATACCCTACCCAGACAAACTTTCTAAAGCTGCTAGGGAACGATATTATATATTATTATTACAGTGACAAGGCAGATGTTGTGGGCAGTTGCACAGATCGCTGCAGTTATTAGAGTAGTTTGTGCTGCTCATCAGACTGAACGGAAAAACTTGTCAGAATTTTTGCACATTGATAAGTTGCACACTGTATTTGCTGTTCACTTTACCCAGGCCTGTTTTCACTGGGATCTGCAGTCTTCTTCACAGATATCACCTGTTAGGTCATATCTCTACGGAAGACCACAGTGAAAACAAGTCCAGGGAAAATGAAAATCTTCTAATTTAATCTAAAGAGCAATCTGCTATATACGAGGGAGGAAGACAAAGTAAAACATTTGAAGCTTTGCACTGTTCTGCATTATTTATGTATTTGAGATTTTGTATTGCATTTTCATAAATTCTCTGCTTGATTGAAAAGATAATAACAACGCTTGTTTCAAATTTCAAACTCCACTCTTTATTGTACACACATTTTTACAACTTCAGAAACATTGTTAATATTTGAAGTGATGGTGAAACTTATATTTGTTTTGCTGTTATTTTTCAAAAGTAACTTTAAAAAAAGCAAAATTCTATTTGTGTGAAAAGAAGAATAAAAAAAGAAGAAGAAAGTTGAAACAGTACTTGATCTGGCATTCATTTATTAGCTGGTTTCTCTGTGAAAATTTCAAAACAGTCACTAATCACTGTGACTCTATGTCCAAAGGCCTCCACAAACGGATGAGGCATAATTTTGTGCAAGGTGTCTCTATCTGGCCACACAATTGCACGCTTTAGATTTGCATATAAAAATGACACCATTTCATTGAATGTTCTGTACACTGTCTTTGGTGAAACACAGAAGAGATAAGCAAGGTGTTGTGAGGGCAGATCCAATCTCAGACGCATGAAGGTTAACAGAAGCATTTGAAATGGACTGAGAATTTTATTTTGAGCAGACATGAGAGGCTGCATAAAATTAAACAAAGCCATAAAGGTCACCAAGTTTGGTAGACCCGTATAGTACTGGACTTTTTCATTAGTGTCTCCAAAGAAGCAATCAGAGATCCGCAGCTCATCAAGTTCACGCCGCAGCTCTCTGTTTTCTTCCAAAAGATGGTTCATCTCTGCACACCTGAGCACACACAGGTTACATTCTGTCTGTCCTTCCTGACGACCACCTTCTGTGTCATCCTTGGTGTTTGGCCGGCCAACGTTTTCAGCAGCCTTCTGCGTGTCAGTCTGTTGCTGGTTAGGGTTCTCTGTCGCCTCATGTGTTACTTCATCCTGTTGCTCAAGGATTTCATCAGCCCGATGGAGCCCCGTTTCAGTTGCTTGCAGGGCATTCTTTTTCAGCTGTTCCCGATAACCACGTCTTAAAGAGCGGTCTGTGTCTGTTGGTTTGATGTCAGTGTGGCCCAGATGCAGGGATGGAGCCCAGTCTGGGTCAGTCTCCATCATCTCATATGCGGGTTGACCTGCAAAGTAGATGAAAGGTTGAGTGTTTTACACATCTATTCAAAACACTATATAAAGCACCTAAATAACAGAGCCCATTAGATTAGATGTGTAATAAATTAAGATAACCTTATGTGTCCCACAGTGGGGAAATTTGCTATACCGAAACAGCACAAGTACATCGGACTAGTAAGGCCAGAGGTAAATAAATAAACTGAAAAGCTTACAGACGAACAAGTAGATTGCACAGGATAAATAAATACAGTGAGTTGGCTGACGAGTGGGTATGTACAGTGTTTTTATATGTACAGTGTATTTACATATATTTATTCATTAAAAAAAAAAATTGTATTGCAGATTGTGTAAATGATTATATACAGAGAATGCATTATTTATTAAATTTTAGCGGTCTAAAAAAGAAATAAACAAAACAAACATCACTTTCCGCTTCTCTTCCACAGCATGTTTCAGTAGGTTTACATGAACTCCTGCAACTTTATAAGCAAACCATTTCAGCGTGTTGATTTCTATTAGTGTATATTTATAAGGACTTACCTTTTTGAAAATGCAGAGAGCAAACACGAGCATGAGGAGATATTTTATGAAACGTGATGTCTTTCCTTCTTACAGCAGCGACCCATGCAGCCCGACGCCTCTTTGTTAAGTCCTCTGTCTGCGGTCCGTATTTTTTTTTCCAAGTGTGGAATACGAAAAACCGTAAGGCCCCATCTGCTGTTTTCTGTTTAGAATTACTGTTGCATCCTTTGACGCAGCACCAGTGTCCCATTATTTCCAACGGAAGCAACTAGAACACCTCTACTCTCTGTTAGTTTTCTGTTGTTAGTTGCTGCTGTCTCTTCACCACAGAAATGGCGCTAACTACCCTAAATGCATTGCGCTTTTGCGGAAGTGACGCACACTGTCAAAGACCGATTGGAACGGTACTCGGGCTGAGGCTGATGACATATCACGAGTACACGAGCACACGAGAAGAGAAGGACCTCGCTGCAGCAAACAGAAAGGGGCGGGGACGGACCTTTCCGTCAGTCCCATACCTTATTTGGAAATGGGACTATTGCATTCCGGAAATGAAGGGGGCGCTATTTTCATAATCACTAGTATAAATGCCTTAAAGACGCGGGGTTAAGAGGAAAGGAAGAAGAAAGAAAGAAGTTTGAAAAGTTTTTGCACTGGTGTTCGGCACACGATCCATAATGCAAAACCCACAAAATCAACAAAAGGTAATTTTACCTTCTTAAAAATTTTTTCACATAGTAAATTAATACGCTTTTCTAGATTCAGTTTTTTAAGAAAACCTTCAATTTGTCCTTTTTAAAAGGTCCAGAGAAGAACTACAAAAGGAGAGAAAGCGGAAAAAAGTTAATGAGAGGGCAAAATGTGAGGTAAGCTGTAGCTAAAATTCATCACTTTGTTGTTGTTGATGTTTTGTGACATGCCATTTGAAATCGTTTCTGATAAAGAATATTTACCTTTTGACTTGTGCAGTCCTCCTTTTTCATAATGTGTTCTTTCAATATTATTTACATTTTTGAAAGTTCCTTTTGTTGTAGCGCAGTTGATTTACATCATTTAGTTTTCATAGAAATGGTGTCGTTTCCACAAAGTTACATTGTGGCTGTAATTTGTTGGAGAGACAGTAGAACCAATAAAGTAGTTGTAAATATATTGTAACAGCGTTGTTTAACAATTGGAAAATTTTAAATGCAAGCAAAGCTAATAACTTGCAATATACAATGTTTCCTATACATTTTTGAACAATGACTGGAATCAATACAAATTTTCTTTACAAACCTGACATACAGACAAGTTGTTTATGTTTTAACAGTTAGAATCAACTTGTTTTATGTAATAAAAAATAAGTTGCAGAAACATATTGTTCAGATACAAACATAAGATTAAACGAACAAAGCGAAGGTGTAATCAGGGTGGAGGTGATGGAAGCTCAGGTGAGGAGCAATTGCACACATCAAGCTGGACTTTATGAAGGGTGAAGGACTTGAGACCGGCGCCGTTAGGCTGGGAGGATGGCACCTGAGCAGGTGATTGGCTGAGCAGGTGAGATGAAGACAGACTTTATTCAAAAAGGTTTTCATGTAGAAAAAAGATCATTCTCTCTGGGGGTTACCAGTACAGTGTCTACTGCCGGGATCAGAAAGTTGAAGATTATTGTCAAATGAACTTTCTAAAACCTACTTTCTGTGCGAGTCTTTCCAGGTTGAAGCTACATTTAAGGTTTTAATTAATCACTTTGGGTTTTGCTACAATTGGATATTCATGTTTTTGGAGTGCAGTTCATGAATTTATTGCAATTGATAAAATTAATATGGTATTTCTAAATGGAATAGTGGGACACCAGTCAGTTTACTAGTTGAGCTGTAGTCCTTATAGGAGATAATAATTGAGCCAGGTCACCTGCAACCAAGTATATTCTAGTTACCGAATGGCACTTGTTAAAAGTTCAAAAGTGCTTTGGTTTGTTTGTAAATTATATTCACAATGAGAATAATAAGAAAAAATATTTGGCAAATAAACAACAAAAGTGCACCGTGAATGGACGTACTAAGTTGGCCAAAATTGTCGACTAAATGTTTTACAGACCAAACCTCTTTTCCATCTAGTTCTTATTAAATAAGCCAAAGGCTATTATATTTTAGATTTTAACTTATTTATTTTAAGAGTACCGTTCACAACATCAAAATATATTATTTGAACTTCAGCACCAGCATGTATTTGTTTATATCTGTTTTCTTAATCAGCGATGGACTGGGGATCTGTCCAGGGTCAGCAGCCTTCATGACCCCACTTGAGGATAATTCATAAAAATTAATGGATGGATAAATGTGCTCTTAATGTAATGTACATTTGTCTCCAAAATTTTGATTTTATTTTATTTTTTATGACTTTTGTTAGAGATATATAGGGTGTAAGGATAGATAAATACATCTCCATAATGATTCCTTATTGTTGCTTACTTTAGATTGTTTGTTACTAAGATAATTTTAAATAAAGATTTCAAAATAAAAAAGGGACATACCACGTGACAGACATGCCACGTGACATATCACGTTTTGTAGCCTTTTCTTTACTGTTTAATTAGTATTTTTAATGTTGAAAGTGTTCTTGGTTGTTTTGAAAGGCGTTGTCAAATAAAATACGTTATTATTATTATAATTATTATGAAACGGTCGGTACAGAAAATAGTGTCACTAGCGCCCCCGTCAGTTCCGGAATGAAATGGTCCCATTTCCATATAAGGTATGAGACTGACAGTGGTCCGTCCCCGCCCCTTTCTGTTTGCTGCAGCGAAGTGTACTTCCACGAGAACGCTCAAGAACGCATATTGAGAAACGGCCCCAGACGTTGTTTGTCCCGGTGTTCTATGGAATTCTGTTCCCCTTGTGTCGGGAGCGCATTGAAGCCAGAGAGGCGGACATGGCGGATGGGACCATTTTCACAACGGGTCTAAAATCAGCTATAATCATGTCACGGTTGTAACATCCAGTTTAATCAGCAGCTGTTGTTTACAAAATTGTAAAATAAATAAATAGACGAGGTGCTTTAAAGCTATTTTGTGTTATTTTAAACGGCAAGAAAATCGTCTTTTTCTAACGTCTGTCACTTAAACCTGACAGAAATAAAAGTCAGTCACCAAACACAGTTTTCCAACAAGTAGTGAGTATTTATCATTTTTCGTTGCTGATATCAGAGGATGGAAACTGGCTGATAGCAGGACACAAATATTAAGAGCTCCTGAAAAGATGAGAGTGTAGACTTTCTGATTTATCCCCTTCTAATGTAAATTATGACAGATTACTGGATTAAGGACATTCCTAGTATACTACATGATATCACACAAACATTTTTGGGAATCTGGAAACAGATGCTTTTTACTTCCCAAAGATGTGGGAGGAGGAGAGACTTGATGTTTCAGCTGCCTGAAATAATCTGTTCCTCCTCCATAACATGGGAAGAAATTAATTTACCTACAGGACTTTAACTGTGTTTATTTTCTCTCTTCATCAGCAACAAATCCTGTGGATTTGGTGACATTTGATCATTATTTGCCAAAGTTATGAGAGGGGAATCGTATATTTTAGCCGCCTGATAGAATCTGTTCCCCCTTTGATGATCTTTATGAAATATATTACAATTCATAAATATTCCAAAAAAAAAAGTTCAAACCAAAACCACTGGACATTGTTTTCCAAGTTTGAAGATGTTTCTTAATTCCAAATGTCTGGAGCAATGCTATTGCAGACATTTGGAATAGAGAATTAAAATACATTAAATAAAGATAATCAAACCAACAACTATTTTGGATTTTAAAATATAAAATAATAAATGTTTTAAACATAATGTATGAAAAATAATGACAGTTTCACTGGATTTGTTTATTTTTTTCCCATGTTATGGGGAAACAGATTATATCAGGCGGCTAAAATATATTATTTCCCTCTGATAACTTTGGCAAATAATGATCAAATTTGACCAAATCCACAGAGTTTGCTGTTGATGAAGAGAGGGATAAACACAGTTAAAGACTTGCAGGTGAATTCATTTCTTCCCATGTAATGGAGGGGGAATTGTTATGTGTGATAGCATGTAGTATAGTAGAAATTTCTTTAATCCAGTAATCTGTCATATTTTACATTAGAACGGGATTTAGAAGAAAGTCTACTCTCTCATCTTCACCCTTGGGGCTAAGCCCCTGATCTCCTAGAATCCTAGATCCTCTCCTGCTACTGTGTAAAACAAGTTGGACTGTACAAAGCGAAAAAGATCCTACTATTGTTTTCCTTTTTCCTTTTCATTTTTCTTGCTTTAAGGATTTAAAATTATTGGACCTTTTTTTTGTTTTCATTAATAAAGTTTAATGTGAACTGCAGCAACACGAATGACTTAAGGGCAATTCCAACCTCAATTGGGGCGGCTTCTTTGATGTATTTTCAAAGAAAAATACATGTAATCGCTAACATGAGTATTATTATTTATTTCATTAAAATCTAGATATTTGGTACACAGATACTTTTTTTTAACTTTTAACAACATTGTATTTACAAAATCAAACTGTACAAAAACTATTTATTTAATACCAGCCTCATTTTGCTAAATTAATTTAAATGAGGAGCTTGTTATATTCTCGTTCTCCACCATCTGATACATAAAACTTTGTTAAAACCTTAAAACTGCATGAAATCCTCAATGTTCTGTGGAAATGAAACTGTCACGATTCAGAACAGATGGCCCAGAGTCAGTAATGTAGTGTCTGGAGTGTCCCCAGTGCTGCAGCTCCGGAGGAGTTGGGGGAAGCCGATCCTGATCAGGGATGCAGATCGGGCAGGAACAGACAGAACAGGTTGCAGATATAGTTTTTATGCATACATTGTTTAGATGTACTATTTTTCTACCGCTTTTATATCAATACATTTGCTTTAATTTGTTCATTCTCCCAGTAGTTGTTACCTTTATTCCACTCTGTATTCTCATGAGTATAGTCTTTGTTCATTTTACAATAAAAAAGACACATTAATAAAAAGCTAGTATTTATACTTTTCCTGCTTTGTGTGTCAACTCTCACAGTTGCTAAGCGACAGAGTTGGACCTGTTTGAATCCACAGACCAAAACTCTTCAGGTCTCCTTATTTTCACGGACTTCGAAGGACCCAGTCCAGATAGACTAGACCAAGACGACAAAAAAAAAAAATCGAGATTTTACTTTTTAGCTATATCGCCTACAGATCTACACTGAGGGTAATGTAACAGGTCAATAAGCACTGGTAGGTCACTGCCAAGGATTATTGGAAACAGCAAGTTGTCTGCTACTCCAAAATTATGAAGGTACATTTTTCCTCTAACATTAATATAGACATCTGCTGTTGGATATTTCCTTTCATCACCATGGACACAGCTAATTGGGACTGTCTCACGGGTGCAAACAGATTGGGTTTAAACATACCTTTGCTGGACCAAGGTCTGTGAGCTTTCAGTACCTGACCATTGAGCTCAACAAAAGTCTTCATTGATAGGTGTATTGCTTCAAGTTTTGAAGTTTCTCCACTTGTCACAAAACACATCTAGGAAAATTCAACAGCATTTTGAGGGCATTGGTTTGGTGTGACCCTCCTGTCCACATAAGTAACAGATAGGCATCTTCCTTGGAAAAGAAGACTCAAATCTTTTCACAGTGGGCTTACCCACAGCTAAAACCTGTTGGGCTAAAGGTTGCCTGCAACCATCATTTTTCCAACTTTGTAAAGCCCATGACCAATTCTTCCTCCTTGCAGCCAAAACACAGGGATGTTACCTCAGTCACTGGGTGAGTAGAGAAGTAGGAAGAGGTCATCCAGCAAGGGGGAGAATTCAGTGCAGACAGACAATTTTCCTTGACTGTACCTCTCACATACATAATCCAAAATGCTTAGCTTATCCTGATCCATTTTCTATAGTTACGCTGCCATAGGTTTAGGCTATTGGAGGTCATAGGGACTACTTTTCACCATTCTCGTTTTTACCTATTTGCAGTAATTGCTATTCCAATCCATAACTTAATGCTCTCTCTGCTTTTTCTTGTCATAGTAGCTTCACCTGGTCTGTTCCTGTTTGGCTGTGATTCCATCTAGGTAAGAAATATCAGCTGGGCTGCTTCCATAAACACTTAAGATCATAGATGATAGAGTTGGGTCAGTTCTTAATTGTAGTCTGGTTTCTCTCCTAGTCATAGCTAAGGGTTCAGCTTCTACCTGTAGACATGAAAAGTGACTCAAAAGTTTGTCTGCTTAACTCTTTCTTTCCTAGATAAAGTCATGTGTGGAGCTAGATTCCCATTGCCTTTCACATGTCTGCTTCTCTCTCCTTGAATCCCCAACTATGCCTTTGCAGAAGGCTGCTCAAGTTCAAGGAGGGACGTCTCATGCAAGTGAATAACAGAATGCATAGCTCTGGTTTTCCTTAGATAGAAACTCTTTACCATTCTGACTATATGATCTGATTTAATTATCTCGGTATAGGGCCTTGTAATGACATATTTGTAACAAACCAGACTGAATAGTTGACTAGAGGGTGCTAATCACAAGAGCAGATAGGGGCAATCAGGACCTTATTTGGAAGCAGAATCTCTGTCTTGAAATTCCAGAGGAAAAGCAATACTCTGTCACAGGACATAAACATGGTCAGACCCAAGAGGTTTAAATCAGGAGGAGCTATCTGAGGGGAAGACGAGAATCAATAGAGGGCAAAAACCAGCTTGCTGTCCAGAGATCACAGAGGTCGAGAGTAGTCTGGCGAAAGCAAGGCAAAGGCCTGGAATTCATCAGGCAAATAAAGGGTCAGAATCAGGCAATCAGGCATGAAAAGGTGGTAAGCATGAGCACAAATAAGAAGTGTACTGGTGGGAAGAATAAGTGATAAACATAAAAGGAGCAGAGGTGAATGTGAAGGACCCAGGGATTTTGTCAGAATCATCAATCATTTTCAATTTTATATTAGCTCAATACATTTTGTTTCAAGCTCTTGTTTGGTAAGAGTTTTGCATTGTGGTATGGGAAGCTAATGTTAGCTATGTATAAATGGAGGGTGTGTCTGTAAACGATGAATGTTTGGATTTGATGAGCCTTCTGAACTCCAAACCATGAAAACCTCCTTTTTTGTTAATTTATAACTTGTGCCTCTGGGCTTATCTAAGCATTCCAGCCTTGGAAGGTAAGTGCTACATCGTAAAATCTGACAGCTGTCAGCTGCCAACTGTAGCTGCAGCTGTAGTCTGCATTTGTTGTCTTCTACAGCTGTTGTGGCAGATTGAGTACTTTTGGAGACATACAGAGATGAAGAGAAGGTACTTTTGGACATTCAAGGAAGAGTAACTTAAAAACTCCACTATTAGTTTATATTTGGATGTTAAAAGGGGCACAGACTCTATGACATCATATTTACTGTAGAACTCTGTAATTTTCGGGACCCGTGACTATATCTCCGACTGATCGTGCGCTCTGGCTACTTGGCCATGCACACATGACTTTCACCCAGGAATCTATGGGACTAAATTCTGCCTCCGTTGTGTACCTTGGAAATAGGGGATCCTTGTTTTCATGCATGCTTACAAGAATTTTTAGCATGATTGTAAGCTGAATAGCCTTCTCTTCTTGATACAATATTTGAAATGTAATTCTGGACTCCAGCATTTTATAATTATTCTTATTCCTTTCTTATCCTGATTCCTCTTAGAAGCAAACATTCAGTCAGGAAAATAATACTATAATAATAAATAATACATTTACTAACATAACGGCCACCTCAGAGACCATTATCCAGTGTATTAAGTAAGGGCTGGATATCAATAAACAGAAGCAACAGGGCAAATAACTGTTTAAATGCAGTAATTGTTGATTATTTCCAGTTGTTGTAATATACACTTTACATTCCTGCAGGCTAATATATTAAGCCTGCTGGATGGTGATCTCTCCTGAACGAACCCACATTTGACCAAGAGTACCCCTTGCCCGTTCACAGGGATGCTCCGAAATAAAAATTCTTGGCCAAAACCAAAACTGAAAAATCAGGAAACCATGACCAAAAACCAAAACACACCAATAAGTTACAATTGTAAATACTAAAATAATTGCACTTTTTGCTACGATGTGTACTAACTATTCAAAAACATATTATTTTTCAAACTGAAACCATTTCAATAAATTCTAAACTATTAAATGACAAAAATGCCAACATTTTTCTGATAAACTCTACTTTTCAGTCATTTTTGGACAAAGATTTCTAGTGACTGAATTTTCGGTCCATCCCTAATAACTTAGAGTCAAGCACTTTTGTTATCAAGCTCAAATTTTATTGAATCCCTGATTTGCTAAACCTAATAAAAAATAAATTCTAGGAATTACGCCTTACATTGTGACTTGGATGCACAAATACAACTAATATTGATGGGAAATTCCAATTCTTACCACGTAACACCAAATTCTGAGCTTAATATTGATATAAGTTATATTATCTATACGATTGCAATTCTTTTTCCATACATCACAGAACTTGACTTACTAATAAAAATGTATGGCTGCCTCAGTAAACATATATAAATGTAAATCTATACTGACATTTACTTTTTCAATAAGGTAATTATATACAATTAGATAATCTGAATTTGTCAGTATGGCATGGCATTTGAAGAGCTCCCCAGTAGGCGAAAGATGTTCATTCAACAATAATATGACATCAAACACTGATATCAAATTGTTGTCATTATTCTAGTAAAAATTTGAATCAACTTGACATAAATCCTTTGACATCAATTTATGTCAATGATTTTATTGAAGTAAATGACATTATTTCAATATCAAACTTCTTTGAAATGTCAAACAAATAATGATATTGATATTATTATTATTTCAGAGATTGTTTTTATGTCAATTCTTTGGTTTAAAAATAATAGATATCTTATCAAGTTCTTTTTTTTTTTTTTATGTGGCACTAGCAGCTCATTATTGTACTCTGTTCAAGGTTTGTGTACTTAAGGCAAGAATGGTTCTTCAGATAGAAAAGGTTTCAGACCCCTGATTTAGATGAATATGCGGACTCACAGGATCTTCATCGGGATTAATTGCTTTGATAATTTCCCCCATGGCATTCTGTCTCAAACACACAAGTATTTAAAAAAAGCAAAAAACATTTTCATTCTGATAAGAATGTGGATATTTTTCATCAACTTGCTCTGGGCCTGCCCACGGGTGGGTTAGGGGTGAAGTGCATAATTCATGAACACAGGCATTTATCTATCATGCAGCAGTTGCAGGTTTAAATCCTGTCTTGGTAATCCCAAGTTCTGCCTGCCTACTTTCAGAAATAACAAAAGCCCAATAGAGCCTAAAAATTATGTCTTAAAAAGATACAAAATTTACCAAAATAGCATAAATATTTTTATTTAAATTAAATATCAAATACATTTCCTATACAAATAATGTCAAAATGACCTCAATACAATCACTGACATATATAAATATGATGTCAAATGATAGATGTCAAGTTGATTTGCATTTTTGTCAACAATTATGACAACAATTTGATATCAGTGTTTGATGTCATTTGATGTTGCTATTTGGGGGTGATTGGAGGATCAGAATTAGTTAATTTGTTAAAGTGACCCAGTGCTTTTAGCAGAGTAACATGTTTAGTGGGATGGAAAGTTTCCATCAGTCTTTTCTGTCCTTAGGTTAAGGCGTTAATTGGCAAACTTTAGGTTGAATATCTTTTGAGCAGAGCATGATAAATGAAAAGCAATAGTGTGTGAAAGCAGCAATCACCATGGGCTTTCACTGCTCTCGTGCAAACTGTTGACATTTAACCCTCCGGCAAAGTCTTGTTAAAACATGACTTTCTAATAAGTTACTTGAGCCAGAGGAGAAACTCGTTGGGTTCAGGACTGAGAGATTCCCTGGAATAAGTCACGTGTCAGTTAAAGTTTGATAATGTCCGCGTTCACGTGTTTTAGGTAACAGAAGCTGCAGTCGCTCCTCCTTCCCGTGTCTTTCACGATCATATAACCGATAAACTTCTGCAACCCCGAAAGGAAGCAGAAAACCGTCCCGCCCATAAACGCAAACATGCTGCATGAAAAAGGTAAGAATGGCATTTAGTTTCTTCTTTCTGTCTTTTGTTGTTTTGTTGCACTGACAGGGGCAGAGTACGGACAGTGTTTACACAGAGAGCTCTAACTGTTGGAGTCCCAAAACTTTGCTTCTCACGATGAGTAAAACATCAGCACATTACATTTACCCTCACTTTATTAAATTTCAGTGCGCTTTAACAAGTTGCATTTCGGTATTCGGTTTAGCGTTGATTAGTGACAGCTTTAGGGAAGTAATCTGTGGTATCTTTATGTTCTGTTAATGCTCCTCGGTTAATTTGCTCACTTTAATATATTTATTATATATATATATATATATATATATATATATATATACTTTAAAATATTGCAACATTTCAACTCTGTAGAAGATCGAACGGATCATCTTGTAGTTTGAGATAGTTTAAGATGATGTGCTTTTGTGATTCTTTCAGTTCCTGATACTCCTGTTGAAGTCCTTGTGGATCTGATAACAAAGGCTAAAGACATAGCTGCAACATGTGCATCTGTCCCAGAGGAGCTGAAAGGTCACCTGCAGAAGGCTCTGGACATCGCTAGTGGGTTGGATGAGTACTTGGATAGGATGACCACTAAAGAAAGTCAACCTCTGGCAGAACTTTATGAGTAGGATTGTTTTTTTGTTGTTGTTTTTTTTCTCAGTTATCTTAAAAAGACAGTGCTTACTTATGTAAAATATACTAACTCTGCAGAAATATCAATATGCATAAACCACAGGGGCAGAGCTAGATGGGGGCAAGGGTGGCCATGGCCACCCTTAGCCAATCATTGGCCACCCTTACAATTGTTTTCCCTCTTATGCTACGTTCACACCAAAAGCAGCAGGATCAGCTAGTTTACATGCAAAGTCATTATCCTGGTGGCTGCAGTTTGGATTACGTACATGAAAACCGCTTTCCAGCCGCTGCGGCAAACCGCGAGGAGGCGACCAGGCCATAGGCTGCTGTTGAATTGTATTCCTACTGACAGCGCACCGCCGGTATATGGGGGTCTGAGTGGCTCCAGCAGAAATAATATTTGAAGGCAGCATGGAAATCTGGATGAACTGACCGCACTGATGAAGTTTTCAGGTGGATTTACCCACTTAAGAACATATTAAAACTACTTTATTCCCACTGATCACAGCAAATATACCTGCAGGGCAAAGAAAGGATAGAGTAGCTACGCCCAATGTGCGTCAGACCCACTTTTTCCACTGCGCAGCTGAAGCAGCAAAGCTCCTGCTGCAGAACTAAACTTTTACAATCATCAAAAATGAAGCAGCAGAAGCATTTTTGCTACTCCTGCTTCACACCAAAAGCAGCAAAGGCAGCAAAAACGGGCTCCAGCTGCGCGTTGGGCGGAGCTACCCTATCCTTTCTTTGCTGTGATCAGTGGGAATAAAATAGTTTTATTATGTTTTTAAGTGAGAAACTCCACATTAAAACTTCATCAGTGCAGTCAGTTCATCCAGATTACTGTCCTGCCTTCAAATATTATTTTGCTGTCAGAGGCGCTCAGACTTCCGTACACCGGCCATGCGCTGTCAGTAGGAATATCATTCAACAGCAGCCTCTGGCCTGGTCGCCTCCTCGTGGTTTGGAAAGTCGTTTTCATGTACGTAATCCCAATTGCAGGCACCAGGACAATAAAAGTGAACATGTTTTGCCGGCAGGTTTCAGCATTTTAAGTTAATTAAGGTGTTAATAAACTGTTTCAGAGGAGTGATCATAGTGAATTGTATCATCAGCGATGTGTCTCTGTCGCTGCCAGCTCCAAGATCATAGTGAATTGTATCATCAGCGATGTGTCTCTGTCGCTGCCAGCTCCAAGATCAGCTTCTCTGATTGATTGATGTGGCGCGTCGAGCAGCAAAAGTTCAGATTTTCCAACTCCATCAGCAGCTGCATTTGCAGCGCGTTGCACGCGTCAGCTGCTCAGATGCGCTGCGCCTGCTGCTCAAAACACACTGCAGGACCTTTTGCTGCACCTTGATGCGCATTAACCATTGACTCTGCATGTAAACTAGCTGCTCCCGCTGCCTTTGCTGCTTTTGGTGTGAACGTAGAATTATACAGATGGTGTTAGCAGTAATACTCTCAAGTGGAATATTCAAAACATTTACATTTTTTTGTGGTTAATTATACACATCAATATACTAACATCAAAGATGATAAGTACAGAATTCATGCTCTTTTCAGAACTAGATTTTGTGTTTTATGGGGTAAAGAGAAAATAATGTGTCTCTGCAAGTCATGTAGGAGTCTTCAGTGAAATCATAGATAAATAACAAATTTTAAACTTATCAAATTATCAATTTATGTAGATATTAGTGCTTGTAAATATCAATTTTATGCAGAATGTTTATTGATACAAGTATGTAAGTAATGACAATGGAAAAGATTTAAGCCCCAGAACTCAAAACTGAAAGAGTTTTATCCACAATACCTTTTATCTAGAAATGACAAATGTTTAAATGCGTTTATTTGTTAGCACAGGTTATCTGAAAGTATAGTGTCTTTATTTAGAAAATATGGACTTTTTGTTCATTAATTTTCTTGTTGGAAAAGTGTCGATTGACCCTGAGGTTCTGGTGCCTATCTGCTTTCGGCCACCCCTCAGTGTACATTGGTTATTGCTTGGCCACCCTCATAAATTCTTTATTCTGGCTACGCCTCTGATAAACCACAAGGATTTTTTTTTTAATCGGGGCGTGTCTTTTGAAAAATTCGCAAAAATCCTCCACTATACTTTTAAAAATGTAACATATAGATTAAACTCATTTTGAAATAAAGCTGTTAGTTCAATGATACTGTACTCATTATTAATACAAAACCACTTAGAAAATGCTTTGAATGCAAATGTCCATAAAGTCAGAAAGAAGTTAGTTTTCCTTAGATGCTCCACTGTGATGTAAGATACAAATAAATCACACTAATATTTAGATATGTAAGATAAAACGGAGCAATGTTCCAGGGTTGTGAATATTTTTACAAGCATCACCCATGATGTAAATAAAATCATTCATTTTTTATTGATAGGAAGACTGTGTCTCACGATTGGGACCAAGTGTTTAAGGAGGGCAAGACTAAGTTCCAGCTTCCAAAGGAGTGCATCACTGGCCATGTTGAGGGTAGGACATTTATATGCTCACTTCTTGGAATTGCATTTGCTACCTTACAAGTTTCACTGGCATATTCTGTTGGGTGTGTTTTCTAACAGGTCAGGCCCTTAAGATGCTGATCCACATGAGTCAGGCCAAGAGGGTTCTTGAGATTGGGATGTTCACCGGCTACGGAGCTCTGTCCATGGCAGAGGGGCTTCCAGAAGATGGCTGCTTGGTGGCCTGTGAGTTAGAACCATATCTCAAAGAGTTTGCTCAGCCCATCTTCGACAAGTCTCCTCATGGTAAAAAGATAACTGTCAAGATTGGATCTGCAATGGACACCCTAAAGGTGAGACACTAGGGCTGCAACTAACGATTACTTTGCAAATTGATTATTTTATTTGATTGATTGATTAATAATTTGACAGCAAAAGGTTTCTGAAAGAAGATTTTTTTTTTTTGCATGAAAGTAAACCAGATTAAACTAAAATTTATCCACTTTTCTGGATAAATTTGTCAATATGCTCTGAATAGAGCATATTGACAGACAAAAAAATTCTTATCATCCAAAATTAAAATGTTTACTTTTTTTTTTTGCAATTCAATATCCAATATATATATATATATATATATATATATATATTAGTGCTGTCAAAATTATCGCGTTATTATCGCGTTAACGCGAGGCCATTTTAACAGCGATAATTTTTTTAACGTGAGATTAACGCTATGTGGTTTTATGGTACAATTTTCCAAGTACATCCCGCTGCAGCCTGCGAGAAGGCGGGGCTATTTTCCCCCAGTCTATGCATTTCTCATAGGCTTCAAGAGCGGAGCTCCTCAAGGGAAAAAGACGCTCATACACTGGGTGACGCTAGTGCCTTTTCTTTAAGCCCCACCACCAACAAACAAGTTGAGTGTCTGGTAACTAGTAGCAACCTGAAATACGCTGAGAAAACAGATTACTGAGGTGAAATGGAATCTGCTACGGCACACTCTGTGTACGCCACAGGTCGGTATCGCGTGTGTGTGGGTGGGTGGGTGTGTGTGTCTGTGTGTGGGTGGGTGGGTGTGTGTGTGTTCTCATTTTTGTTAAGAGGCTGAAAAGTAACTTTCTTGAGCATAGACTACCTCCATCTAGTGATGTCGGTCTATTGATTTTGATGTATTGATTGAAAATTGTTCATTATTATCTTGGTTAATTAACATCTAATGTTAACTGTACTACATTTTATAGCAGTAGGGTAAAATGCTTGTCTTTGTTCAAAAGACTGTATTAACTGTAAAGACTGTCTTTTACATCAGCCTGTTTTCGGGGCCTTTTTTTGGCTACATATTTGTTATTTTTTGCTACATGCCTCCCCATCTTCTTGCCATATGTTTCTATGGCATAAATCAGTGTCTGTGACCTGTTTTCATTTTAAAAAAAGAACATTGGCACAAACCTAGCCTGTATGTATTTTTTGTATGTCATCGAGAGTATTTAAATGATTTTCAATCAGAAAAAAAAATTGCGATTATAATGCGATTAATCGCGAGTTAACTCAGGCATTGATGCGATTAATCGCGATTAAAAAAATGTAATCGACTGACAGCACTAATATATATATATATATATATATATATATATATATATATATATATATATATACACTATATTGCCAAAAGTATTTGCTCACCCATCCAAATTATTGGAATCAGGTGTTCCAATCACTTCCATGGCCACAGGTGTATAAATTCAAGCACCTAGGCATGCAGACTGTTTTTACAAACATTTGTGAAAGAATGGGTCGCTCTCAGGAGCTCAGTGAATTCCAGCGTGGAACTGTGATAGGATGCCACCTGTGCAACAAATCCAGTCGTGAAATTTCCTCGCTCCTAAATATTCCACAGTCAACTGTCAGCTGTATTATAAGAAAATGGAAGTGTTTGGGAACGACAGCAACTCAGCCACGAAGTGGTAGGCCACGTAAACTGACGGAGCGGGGTCAGCGGATGCTGACGCGCATAGTGCGAAGAGGTCGCCAACTTTCTGCAGAGTCAATCACTACAGACCTCCAAACTTCATGTGGCCTTCAGATTAGCTCAAGAACAGTGCGCAGAGAGCTTCATGGAATGGGTTTCCATGGTCGAGCAGCTGCATCCAAGCCATACATCACCAAGTGCAATGCAAAGCGTCGGATGCGGTGGTGTAAAGCACGCCGCCACTGGACTCTAGAGCAGTGGAGACGCGTTCTCTGGAGTGACGAATCGCGCTTCTCCATCTGGCAATCTGATGGACGGGTCTGGGTTTGGCGGTTGCCAGGAGAACGGTACTTGTCTGACTGCATTGTGCCAAGTGTAAAGTTTGTTGGAGGGGGGATTATGGTGTGGGGTTGTTTTTCAGGAGCTGGGCTTGGCCCCTTAGTTCCAGTGAAAGGAACTCTGAATGCTTCAGCATACCAAGACATTTTGGACAATTCCATGCTCCCAACTTTGTGGGAACAGTTTGGAGCTGGCCCCTTCCTCTTCCAACATGACTGTGCACCAGTGCACAAAGCAAGGTCCATAAAGACATGGATGACAGAGTCTGGTGTGGATGAACTTGACTGGCCTGCACAGAGTCCTGACCTCAACCCGATAGAACACCTTTGGGATGAATTAGAGCGGAGACTGAGAGCCAGGCCTTCTCGTCCAACATCAGTGTGCGACCTCACAAATGCGCTTCTGGAAGAATGGTCAAAAATTCCCATAAACACACTCCTAAACCTTGTGGACAGCCTTCCCAGAAGAGTTGAAGCTGTTTTAGCTGCAAAGGGTGGACCGACGTCATATTGAACCCTATGGATTAGGAACGGGATGTCACTTAAGCTCATATGTGAGTCAAGGCAGGTGAGCAAATACTTTTGGCAATATAGTGTATATATATATGACATATTAGGCTTTCTCCCAAGGTATCCGACAGATATAGAAACCCAAGGTCAACACAGTACTAAATGTAACAGAAAATCTGATTTACAAGGGAGGCAATGTCCAGGGAACCAACAGTTGATTTTGGGATGAATTCCACTTTAAATGCTTTGTGTGCTGCAGTTGGAAACAAGGAAACGCATAGCTTGAATCTTCCTCTCTGCATTGAGTCAGGCAGCTGCTCTATCGCTTTTGATGTAGAATTGGAACCATGATTGTCACCTGATTGAAGCGCCTCCAATCTACATGTACAGCCTACCTTATATGATAGCCTTCCTATGGCCTCTGCTCTAAAGGGGCTTACAAATCTAGCAGTTTCTGTTAGGGACACGTACAGTGAGTAATGTTTGCAAAAGGTAATGATTGACTATCAAGGTCTTCTCCACTTGACCTGAACATTGGATCTGTGCTGAAGGTGAGAAGATGCTGTTGTGAAACGGTTCTGCCTAAATATCTTCAGAAACCTTAGATAAAAGAAATTTTAACCATGGAAAGCAAAAGGGCAACACAATTCTTGAGATTAAAATGTGGTAGTATTGCTTTTTTCAAATTGAAAAGCATAATATAACCTAATGGGGTAGAGTATCATTATACAACCTTTCAAATTTATACACCAGTAGCTCTGTCTTGTCCCATGCATATTTTTTCAGATTTTTTAATTACTCCATCCTCCTGTCATAATACAAGTAGTTTTTTTATCTTATGTCTAATTATTTTGTTCATTTTGTAAGTAAATGCAGTTCTAAATTTAACTTGACCATGAGGCTGAGACCATGATGTTGATGAAAGATTCATTGATCTGGCATACATACTGGATTGACAGAATGTCTAAACAGCCATTTGTACACAGTTACTAACCACATCTGTTTACTGAAAACATGGTGTTTTAAAAAAGCTACGGTACTTGTTTTCAGTTTTTTTCCTAGATTAATATCTATCAACTGAAGAAAAAACAGGATATACTGATGCGGTAATGTGCAGATCTTATCTCTCTGTAGTGGCTTAAAGGAATAGTACACCCAAAACATGATTAGCCTTCATTTTCTACTCACCCCCATGCTGAACAACACTCTGGAGTACTTTTTTGATATCTCAAATGCATCTGGAGATCTGGGAGGCTTCTTGCTGTCTGCTGACATTCAAATAATGGAGGTCTATGGTGACCGAGACAGAAAGGTCCATAAAAGTCCACAAAAAACGTGTCAATATTCCTCCATACTGCTCGTCCAATGTATTCCAAGTGTCCTGAGTGGGTAGCATCCAGAATTTACTCGAAACGAAGTCATTTAGAATGTTTTTAGAGCATAAACAGTAGTGTATAGGATTTCCTGAAAGCGCGCACATGCTCGCTCGCGACGCTACGGAATCCGGCAGACCAAACCAGATGAAAGTGCGCATTCAGCGTCTGCTCTGCCAATAATGCAAGCGTAGAAGATGAAATGTGCTGTTTACCTGTGCAAAGAAAGAAACAACGAAAGAAAAATGTCTGAGGACTTCAGTGTTGAGGAAGAGCTTGAGTTCTTTGCCGAGCGGAATGCGCTGGTTTGGTCGGCCGGCTTCCGTAGCGTCGTGAGCGCGCATGTGCATTCACCTTGAATATGGTCGACACGCGATCAATACTTTGGTGAATCATGAATGGCATCTGAATGAAAACATGAAAACATTGTCAAATAAGAGATATAGTTTATTTCTTAACTTATTTGTAATACATATTTTTTGTAACATCATTCTGTTATTCCCAAAATTCTCACCAGCAGAAAATCTGTAACTTAACTTAAACAAATGGAGGCCTGTTTTAAAAGGGATCCATGGAAGAATAAGCTTACAAAGGGCTATAAAAATATCAGGATGGATGCTTGGTGTATATCGCCTTCATCAAAATGGGTTTCGGTCTTTTTTGTGTTGGTATATAAGATGCGTGCATCGTATTAATGAAAACATATTGTTATCCTAAATGAGTAAACAATTCTGAAAAAAATTATAACTATAAAAAAAAATGCATTAACTTCATAGCCATGGGTTTAAGACATCCCTCCACCTTCTCCCGCCTATTCTGTCAGGGTCACAGTGAGGCCGAAGTCTATGTCTGGCAGTCTTTGGCTGAGAGGCTGAGTACACCCTGGATGGGTCGCCAGTGATTTAAGACATAATTATTTGGTTCCTCTCACCTCCCTTTAAATTAACACTCAATCGTGCTATAAGATAGTCAGTTATAGGGATTTTAATGTTTAAGGTAGTGTGCAGGTGGATTTGATGATGTGCCTAATATTTTATCCAGATTTTGATGAAATATCTCGATTAAGTTACTGTATTAAGACCTCAAACCATGGGGGTCCCTACCAAGTCCCAAGTCCTCAGTTAAAGTCTATGACAGAAGACACAACCAAGGACAAGAGGGCAGAGACAGCAGATTGATTAGAGTAGAATTAGCAAAAGGCTGAATTGTTATGACCTTCTTGAATGGGCTTTCTTGGGAGAGTCAACATTGTGACATCATAGGTTAGTGAAATTGCATATTACTTAAGTGCTAGGTTATGAAACAGTATCTTTCAGACCAAAGTATGAATTTCTGGCCTCAAAGCACTTTTTTTTTTTTTGTTAAACGTGCAGCATTCCATTTCAGCTGTTATGTAAGGTGGTAGAAAGGCAGGTATTAGGGTTTGGTTTGCAGTCACAGAACCTTATCTAACAAACATGAACTCTTGAAGTTGGGGTCAAGGTCAGGGTGAGAGTTGAAAAAATTGAAGCAATCTTTTAAGAGCTGTCAATAAAACAACAAAACAGTCCTGTGACAGTAGCAGGGATGGAGGCAAAATTTCTCTGCATTTCTATAAATGACTGAAAAAGTAACATAGAAAACAATACATTTCTAAAAAATGTTTTACAAGGTACAGAGTCAAAGGGTGTACTTACCTTACTGGGTAAATCTCTATTTATGAGCATTAGCAAGATTTTAAATGGGTTGGTTAAATATATGATCTAACAGTATATTTACAAAAGTAAAACGATACAAGTGTAATATTGTTGTTTTAATTGTTTTCTTGTCGTATCTCTGGGGGCTGCACTCGTTGGCACCATATGTCTTGATCAAAATTGGCCATTGAGGGTTGGGCCTTTTTATCTAAATTAATCTGCTGTAGCAACTTATCAGTAACCTAAATGGATGTCATCAGATTGTTTATAAAACAAGTCAAAGTTGTCTTTCCAATAATTTTTACATTAAATGTTTCTAAAGATCTTCACCTGTGTTTTTACTTGCTTCTGGAAACATTCTTTAAGAGCGTGACAATACATTCAGCTCTCTTAATGATGATAAACAATATCCGAGGTGGAAATTCCAGGTCCAAAAAGTAAAAACCTTGCCTAATTTTGCTTCATCCTGTTGACTTAACAAGGTGATTAGTCAAGTGGAACTGGAAATGCAAATAATAGGAACTGATCTCTTTACTGGCTTTTTACTTTCTGGACCTGGATAATCCACCATTGCACAATATTGGCTTCATAATATTAGATCGAGTCAATATTCTAGCTGGTATTGGTAAACAAGCAATTCCGTGAAATTGGTATAAAAAAATGTAAAAGTAATCATCTGGGTTGTACAGGAGGATAAGATTTTACTCCCTATATAGTGGCATAGTCCAGGTTTAACTCTCATTTCTGTTAAAGGTTATTTTTATCCATTACTTTTTGTTATTTGAATTTCTTTGAAGTTTATAAGCAGTCACGGTTAATGAAATTATTGTCATTACATGTGTCCGATGGAGGTTCTGCTCTCTAGACCTCCTGTAGGCTGAGCGGTTGTGAACTAAGCAATGTGCAATGTTGATGATATGAATGCAATAAGCTAAATAGTCATTTACCACATTAGCAATGTATAGAGTGTATTTCTTTAAAACTAAGACTAGTTTAAAGTTATCTTCATTGAAGAGTACAGCGCTTGTCCTTCAAAAATAATGACATTTCAATGTGAGCCCAAACTTTAAAAGCTAAAGCACTCATAATGACCTGTGTTTTTTTTTTTTTTTTTTTTTAAGAAATTGGGTTCAGAAGCCCTTTCACTCTGCGGTTATGTTAGTCTTTGTTACACATAGGGCTGCAACTAACGATTATTTTAAAAATCGATGAATCGGCCGATTATTTTTTCGATTAATCGATGAATCGGACAAAAAAAAAAATTTTATATTAACCTCTTTATTCCAAAATAAACATTTTAGACAGAACAAACAAGCACACAAGTACAGGTTGCTCATTAACTGTACTGGTGCAATATGAAAAATAAATGTTTGTGTAAAAACTACGCAAACTTACATGAGAAATGTAGCTGTACATCCACAAAATATAGGCTACTTTGGTTCATAAAGCGCAAAAAGAGACAGGCATTTTTGTTTTTTAAAGCCCCTAAGGGGTTCAACAATAGGTCCCCCCATTTCAAGAAATGAGTTTTTTTTAGACTAGAAGAGTTCTGCCTTTTAAGACAGGAAAGTATAGCAGTTAAAGTTGCTGCTTGAGAAAATACTGAACCATAGAGATAAAAATAGCCCTGTGATTCAAATTATAAATTGTATTTGGAATAAAAATGAGAGAACTAGGGGTGGTAAAAAAACACATCCTCCAAAGACAGATATTTACATGGGAATGTGGCAGATAATTAATTGACATATTACTGATCTTGCTGGATTTTGTTCTGCTTTACTTCCATAAATTGCAGGATCTTCTTTTCTTTATCTTTGCCAGAAGATTTAAACTTTAAAAGCCTTGCCCTCATAATTTGCAAGTTAATTTATTTATAAAGAAAATATAAACGCTGCTTAAACAAATGTAAATGAAATTAAAAGTAAAATAAGTAGCCAACCTTATCCCTGTCTGTAACCTACTAACAAGGTAAGGAAAGCATCAGATGAGCTACCTGAGAAACTAACGTTACGTTTCCCCACTTTAAAACCAAACAAACATGGTTACTCATCCTGCTGATCAGCTCTCTTCACTGCCATCGAAGGCTCCAAAGTGTTTTCTTTTCAGGTGCTGCGTCATAACAGTGGTGCTTCCGTGCCATGTTAATTTCTTTTGAAAAAAGTTGCATGTTATCACTTTTTTCACTTTACAAAGCGCAGGCTATTTTAATTATTGTGATCAATTTGCGCCGTCAATCCCGGCGCATGCGCGCTTCATTTGCAGTCTGGACGCTGAGGGTAAACTCCTCACTAAAATCCTGCGGCTCTGACTGCCGCGCTGAGAGGGATTCCTGTGGGAGAGGGAGAAAGGCGTTGGGATGGGGGAGGCGCCCCACGGCAGGCAAAAGCCGCCAGTGACACCGTAAAAAGTCGCCAGATTTGTCGCTAGTCGCTTTTTTGAAAAATAGTCGCTGGAGGGGTCTGAAAAGTCGCTGAGTTGGCAACACTGCAACTGCGGCGCTGACTCGCTCCGCCATATTTTTTTTTCTTCCCCCGGATGACGGCGGCGGCGGATGACGCATTAATCGCGCGACACAACTAATCGATGATTAAATTCGTTGCCAACGCTTTTAAAAGTCGATTTTTATCGATTTTATCGATTCGTTGTTGCAGCCCTAGTTACACACTCTATGGCTGTAATGTATATAGATACCAGTATTTATACATTACATATTAGGTTGGCCCCAAAGGTATCCGACAGAGCTATAGAAACCTGGGGTCACAAAGTACAAACAGCAGCAGAACATGTGGTTTCACAGGAAGGCAAAACCCAGGGAATCAAGAACCTTTGATGTACAATCAAAGTCTTTATAGGACAAGACGTTTTAAATTTCTAGAGTCCATGTTTTTTGTCGTCTCTGTCACTGTGACTTGATCATTTGGATGTATTAATTCAAAATAGTTTTAAAAGTACAGTTTTTACAGATCGTTGTCTAAAATGTTTGAATATTAATCTGTTTTTTGGATAAGAACTGGTTTAATTCTATAATTGTTGTTTCTATTTTGTTGTTTCCAAGCAGATGCCACTCTAATGAATACAACATTCTAATAATAGTAATAATCTTCAAACAGCTGTCAGATTTATTAAGGTCAGTTGTTCCTGAAGGGTTACATGACCTGGTAGGGAGTGACAGCTGTTCTTCGCTTCAAGTTTGCACTTGCTGTTTGCTGTGTCAGATTGTTTGCATCAGTAGACTGGTCAGTGTATCTGTTTGTTAATTATGACATGTCATTCACTTTTTCAGGAGTTGGCTGCCAAGGGTGACCAGTTCGACATGGTCTTCATAGATGCAGACAAGATTAATTACATCAACTACTACAACTTTATCATGGACAGCAACCTGTTAAGGCTGGGAGGGGTTATATGTGTTGATAACTCACTCTACAAAGCAAAGGTTTATCTTAAAGATACCACAGATAGCAATGGCTTGGCGCTTCGAGAGTTCAACCAGTGTATTTTGAATGATCCCCGGGTAGAGCAGGTACGTCTCTCTACTACATTTGGATGTTTAATTCCTAATCCCTTATAAAGCTAATGTGCTTTTAATCAAAAGGTCATCGTCCCTCTCAGAGATGGCATCAGTCTTATACGACGTGTATCTGTGGCCTCAGCAAAATCGCTATCACAGGTACTCTTGACCTTTGCGGATGTATTCCTCCTGTTACGCATCATTTGTAGCAGGATTTGGATCTTGTCCATTAGGTTGACATAACAGACGATGAAGTTTTCCGCGGCGTCCAGGGGCGTTCTATCTTGGATCGGATGCGACTGGATGGAAAGGTGGCCTACGTAACGGGAGGTGGGCAAGGCATTGGCCGGGCGTTTGCTCACGCCCTAGGTGAGGCTGGTGCTAAGGTGGCCGTGGTGGACATCGACCAAACCAAAGCGGAGGCAGTGGTTAAGGAGCTCTTCCTTAAAGGTTAGCAGCATGGCCATACACTGAAGTTTTCTGGCAAAAAGTATGCTGACCAGATTTGGGTTTCTGTAAAGGAGGACACTTTTTTGGGGGGGGGGGCTGCTGGGCCGCTGACTGGACTGGACCGGACCGGGCCCCACCGGGGGACGGAGCGACCAAACCTGACCTGGAGACGGTATGCTTACCGGATAGGCGGGGGGAAGCACAGGGCCGCCGTTGTCCAGGCCATCGTCACCAGGTCGTGTTCGGTTCTGTTCGGAAGCATACCTGGTGACTGTATACTTCACCCCACCTGCATGGTAAGGCAGGCGGGGGGAAGCACAGAAGAACAGGGCCGCTAGGCCACCACCACCGGGTTTGGTCGCTCAGGTTTGGTCGCTCCCTGTTTCGACAATATTTTGAAAATTTTGAAATTCCCCCCAGACATTTTTTTAGGTATGAAAAGTAGGACATGTCTGGGGAAAAGAGGATGTCTGGTTACCCTACAAAATGCAGAGAACCTTTTTTACCTTTAGACAGACCGCTGCCTGTAGATATTAACATTTACTACAACTTGTTGAAAGATATCCATATAAGTTACTTCAACATTCCATTTCCCTTTGAGATCAATAATCAGTGTTTGTACAGGGTAGTAAAAGGTAGTAAATTAAATTAACTAAAATAAAGGTTAATTAATATTTTAACGCCTAAATTAAGTTCAAATGCTTAAATCTGCTGGCAAAACATTTTCAAATAACGAGTCCTGTTTGTTACCACTTCGCATTTGTCTTGCGAAGTGGTAACAAACAGAATTTGTCTTGGTAGTAAATTTTTCATCACCTTTTCAATATATTCATTGATCAATTGATGCTGACTTTTACATTTCAAGTTGATCTTACTATAAAATCTGTCTAAAAAGTATATGCAGAAGGATCTGAGCTAACATTGATGGACCGGATTGGCTTTGCTGGTTGATCTGATGTGCACTCTGCAGATGTTTAAACTCTGCAGATGTTTGTGCCTCTATGGGAAAATGTAAGTTTTCAATGTTTTGCTAACTATAAAAGTAGATAACTAACTTGGATTCAAAAGATTTGTTTGGAAACAAATTGCCTTAAACTATCTACTGGTTTATTAACTCGGACTATTAAGTTGATTTGTCAAATCCAATTACATACATTTAATATTTGTGCTTGGGTAACATGGAACCAACATGTTAGGGCCCTGTCACACCTTGCTGATTTAGACAGCTTATGCCTGATATCCCAGAATCTCTTAAAACGCTGGCATACACTTAACTTTCTATGTATTATTTAAATATTGGTCATATACATAGCTCATTCATAACGAGTCCAGAGCATTTTTCCAATGACAGCCTAACTTATGCATAACGCTCAGCAGCCTAATACCGATGAACTGATGCACAAGCCAGTGTCCTGAGGAGGGCAGGTGTGCCAGAGGCGCGTGGTCTGCATAAAAAGATTCCTTTGATCATGGTATTAACCTAAAAAAGAATAAATAAGAAGAAAAAGAAAAAAAGGTTTGCAGTCGCAGCAGATTCAGCTTCAGGTCTGCAAGGAAGTTTGTTGGCTGTGGGTGTGAACACAAGGAGGATCCATCACACTCACCTTCTCGCTCATCCTAAAATTGGGATGCAGTCTGGAGGAGTGCTGACAGTTTCCTCCTGTAAACCCCCTTTTATACCAAAACCCTGTCAATACACCATTATTCAGTAGCTGTAAGAAACACGTCCAGCAGTCATCTGAAACTTGTAAATGATTTTGATATGCATTGGAGATGAGTAGATAAATTTTTTTTTTTTTTTTTTTTTTTTTATATACTCTAATAATCCCAGAGGGAAATTACTTCTCTGCATTTAACCCATCCCCTTGGGGAGCAGTGAGCTGCCATTGTGAGGCGCCCGGGGAGCAGGGTGAGGTTAAGGGTCTTGCTCAGGGACCCAGAGTGGCAGTCTGTGGGAGTGGGGGATCGAACTCACAATCTCAGGTTTGAAAGCCCTATGCCCTAACCACTAGGCTGCCACTCCCCCAATTGCACATAAGTTATGCATAAGTTACTCATAGGTTTTGGATAAGCCAGACACCACATCTTATGAGTAACTTACACTTAATGTACAGTATGTCAACGATCAAATAACTTAAAGCCCAAGTATGAGCATACGCTGGCATACCAAGGGGAAAATTGAAAATGCTCAAAATTTACATACTCTCCTATCGACTGTGCCAGCATGCTTTAGTGTGCTCATAACTTATACAAAACGTACCCATAACTTATACAACACATGCCAGCGTTTTTGCCAGATTTTTTGTATGTCAGGCATAAGCTGTCTATATCGTCAAGGTGTGACAGGCCCTTTAATCAACAGTTTAATTCACCATGAACATTCATTTATCAAACAATTCTACAAGTTTCGATTGTTACAGTAACATAACAAAGAGTCCTAATTAAATCTAACAGAAACCACACTCATGATGTTGCAGGTAATGGGGTCATATTGTCAAAATCTTAACAAGTAGTTCCTTTTTAAAGTTAACTTGTTTCCTATTAAGTTATTTATGTTATGCTGAACTAATACACAAATAATTCAGACTAATCCATAAAGACAGAACACATTACGCTACATCAACACATTTAAGTTTGCAGAGATTTTACAGAGTAATGAGTTTTAAGTATTCAGTTTAATGAATTACTTTTATCCTTTGGGTTTGCAGTGCTTGATGAACCAGCATTCAAAGACAGGCTTAAATAGGTCATTGAGAATTATAAAGAGGCTTTTTGCAAAGTGAGAAAAACTAAAATGTTACCATGAACAATGTTAACAAGTCACGCTGAGTATATTATTGCTGACATCAACTTAAGCGCTCAGAGCTGAGGTCCTCTGTAGGCTGAAAACTTCAGTAAAGCATCACTTGTAATCATCAAATACCGGCGTCTGTTTACAGACTCTGACATAGCCAAATGTTTTGCATGCATGAGGAAGTCTTAGTCTAGACATGCTTGATTCGGTATTTGTATTTAAAATATTGTATAGGTAGTAAAAGGTAGATAACCCAACTACTCAACAAACTGTATTAACCCTGATCAAGTTTTTCTTTTGAATGTCATTAAATTGAATGTAATTGAATTACATTCTGCGTGCTTACTGTGTGCATTTAGTCATGTTGAGGTACATGGAGTCGTGTAAAGTCACATTTGACTCTAGTATGTCACATTTACTTCAGTTAAGTGGCATTTAAGTACCTTTTGTGAAGTTTAGTTAAATTCAGTCATGTTTGGTTGCATTTGTCTTGCTAAGTCACACTTGGTCATGTTTAGTCACATTATTTTTTAACTTAAGTGACGTTTGGTTTACATTTAGTCGTGTTTTGTCACATGAGCCACATAGGTGTATGTTGTCAGTTTTAGTCAGGCTTAGACACATCTAGTTAGATTGAGTCATATAAGAACGACAAACATTATTGTATTTTGAGGGTTTTATCTTATAGGTTAACACACAGTAGCACATACATTTAAAGTAGGATAATAATTACACAATTTTCTATTCCTCTATCAGTTATACTAGCTTGTCCACATAGGGTGGCAGGGGGCTGCTGCCTGAAAATGCTGCCTACAGCCTGAGCTCAACACTCTCCGATGTATTCTGAATAGGAGACTGTCATGCCTTTAGGATGCTTTTTTTCAGCAGGGATAGAAATACTGACATGTCAAAGAGCCCAAGGTTCACCATCCAGAAGGACAACAAACATAAACATACAGCTGGGGTGGTGAAATAGTTTCTCCCTAAACATATTCTGTCGTTAAAAATCTGTACTTAGAAATTCCTGTTCACATTCCCTAAAATACTACTTACACAAAAAGTAAGAATAATTATTGTACTATGTCTTGTAAATTCACTTACACGTCACTTTTATATACCTTTGTTCTTATTTAAAATGTATACATTATAAAATATAATTTTTTAATTACTGTATTTCAAGTTATTTTACTTTGCATAAAATGAACAAAGACAAAAAAGATTAACCTCACCCCCAACACACCAAAAAAAAAAAAAAGGCCAATATCATTTATGTAGCTGATATACATGGACATTCAAATAGCATAATATTTTTAGCTGAACAAAATGAACTAGTACTTAGATGCGAGTGCTTACCAACACCCTGGACACCTTAATGTAAAAAAGATCATCATACAATAAGAGAGGTGGTTAAATGTGTAGAAGTTCTGTTTCAGCTTGTAACTCGAGTAAAATACAGTTTTTTGTTACTATTAAAGGATATTAAGTTCGAATAAATCTATCTTTGCTGCCACTGTAGCTATATTTCAGTTCTCAAGAGGGACGAAAGAGACTACTTCTTCAACCCGGTGTTAAAATAAGGGGAAACTTGTGAACTTCTGCTGCATAAAATCTAGTCTCTGTTCTAATCATTGTGTAAAAAAACCTATGGCATTGACTGTGAAGTAGTGGATTGTACACCTAAAATTGCCATATGTTTAAAGTAGGTTTAATTATGTTTCCAGATCAATTTTTTGACCAGCAGATGGCAGCATACTAAAGGATAAAATGTGTGACAGTCTTTTCGGTGGCTGTGGTTGCATTTATGGTTTGTTTTTCCTGCATCGATGGGCACATCCCATAGATAAAACAGAAAAATAAACTTATTGAACAAATCAGAGTTTTAAGTTTCTTTATTGTTTATTTTTTATAAAAACCTAATATTTCTAAAATGTTCCCTTTTTCAGGGATCCACGGTATTCCCATCAAAGCTGACATCAGCAAGGCAGATGACGTGCAGCGGATGGTTGACACCATCGTCTCTAAATGGGGGACGATCCATATCGCCTGCAACAACGCCGGCATTAACAGGAACTCAGCCAGCGAAGACACCAGTTTAGAGGAGTGGGACCAGACCTTTAACGTCAACCTGAGAGGGACCTTTATGTGCTGCCAGGTGTGTGCAGTGACTTAGTTAACCTGGGTGGTTGCATCATGTCTTTAAAGCTCAAAATGTGACTAGAGGTAAACTGACTAAATATTTGGGCTTAGATGTCCAAACGTAGACATAGAAGTTCAGATATTTTTATATCAATGTGGCTCAGAAAATGTGTAGGAACAGAGAACAGACAGCAGCCTCCACAATTTTTGTTGCCTAAGATGAATATCTTTTAAAAACAATATCTTTAGATGTTTTTTTTATTTACATATCATGCCATCCACCTCACTGTATCTGGTGGCAAAGTAACTTTGCGTCCTCATAAAAACCTTGATATTCACAGTCCTGGATGTTTAAAACTTTTTGACTGCTTTTCCTGCTGTATAAATGTCCCATTTAAGATCAATAGGTATTTTCAAAGCAGTTTAGCTTAACTGATGAAGATTAACACACTTCTGACTTTCTTGCTTTACATATTTTCTTGTTTTTTCATTTTGAAAAGGGGCTAAGAGAAACTAGCCATGTTCCAGGCCATACCTATATACCTGAGGGGTATAAACAGGAAGTCATAGAATATTTTTTAAATCCTAGTTGGGAAACTTGGGTTTCTAGGATTTTTTTTTCCTAAACAGAAAAAAAGATGTAAAGGTTGGATGTCTGATACTTTCGGTGAGATTTTTCCACCCAATTAAAAGACAGATTTATTGCAGAACTTTACATGATTACCAATACCAACACATAATTCATAATTGTGTAAAATTATTAAGAAATTAAAGGCAAATGTATCAAATATGACATCACTATTGTTTAATAATAATCATGTTTTCCCCAGATGCAGGTTTCAGTATATAATCAGGGCAACATTAAAAATAAACAAGTGTAATGAGATTTATTAAGGGATGTTAAAGGTTATTTTAGTTATTTTAAAGTCAATGACATAAATCTGATTTCAGTTTTTTTATTTTCAACATGCACATATTTTGGATATATGAATCTTAAAAAATGAACAATACGGGAAAATACATGGAGTTGGCATCAAGCTACATTGACATTTTAAAAAATTCTGGCATCCAGTCTGTTTTATGAAAAAAGCCAGTAGCTTTTGTTTCGGGACGTTTTTTAGCTAAAGAATAATATGAACAGGTGGGACACGCACACAGGTCAGGACAACATCAGAATTCCAGCCGTAAAATAAACAGATATATATAAATATACACATGCTGAGTTCTGAAAAGTGAAGCCACTGCTGAACATTTAAATCTACAACCTACAAATCTTCAGATCCTCCTCAGTGCATCACATTTGATCCTTCCTCCTGTAATAAACTACATGTTTTCTTGTTGATCTGTGCTGAGCCTGTCGGTGCAGCCTGTTGTAACAAGGTGTCTCCCCCTTCTGAATCCTTGCCTTAGGCGGCAGGTCGAGTGATGTTAAAGCAGGGATACGGAAAGATTATCAACACAGCCTCCATGGCCAGTCTAATAGGTGAGTAATGCTTCCATTCTCCTCTCTCCTTCTGGAACTACTTAAAGTCGGTATTTTAATCTTTCAATTTGGCGTGGGGCTTTGGACTGAGAAGAGGAAGAAGGAGACTGTACACATAAAACAAGGTAGAAAAGAGGTATTTGTTGCAGTTTTTTTTTTTTTTTTCATCTGCAGGGTTCTTAACAGCCAATTTAGAACAGGATTAGGCATCTTTAACTCCAGCTCAGCTGTTCCGATGAGATGCATCCATCGCTACTTATAGTGAGAAACACAAAGTGTTGTGATTGCGAGACTCTGAGGCAGTTTTGCATCATAAGAAACATCCCCCTCTGTGGAGCTATGCAGAGGATGTGAAAGGCAACCTGAGGTCCAACTTGGGAGGGGAGGGTTCCTGTTCAGATGCAAGAAGAAAAAACACCAACTTGAGCCGGGGGCCTTGTTTGTGCAGCAGAAGACACTTTGAGAGTTTGGCAAGAGCCTAGTAAAAGTCGCACCTCTCCAACTGGTTACTCCAGAGCAGCAGCAACAGTTCATCTGCAGTATATTTGAATCGCCAGTAAAACAGCGTGCCATATGGGCCCCCAATCCCGACTGCAGGGGCAATCTGTACAACAGAAACATGCTGGTAAATAGAGGACGGCGTTAAGAAAATGATCAATTACTCGCATTACGTTCAGTCCTTCAGGAATTTACTTTATCACACTGGACATCTGTTATAATATTGTCATAATGTGTAATCAGAAGGGAGCCGTAACAACCAAGTAGAGGCTGGAAATGCAGCCATAAACGTCCAATTAAAATGCACAGTGACAGCTTTTTGTCCATCTGCTGGATAAAAGAGAGGGTGGGTGTGTGCCCTGCTAATGCCACACTCACACATATTCTGACCATCACAGCTTTATTCGTTTTTCCCTCAATCACCACTGGACAAGAAATATTTAATCAGCTGCAGAATTATTTTACAAACACCATTTTTATCCTACCTTGTTTGTTCCAGATTACAGTTTATTCATTTCAAGCAAAGTTACTGCAAAAAACTGTTTTCAAATATATATATACATTTTTTTTTTTTTTTTTATCGGAAACTAGACAAAACATCCTAGCACAACGTGAATATAATTAAAGTTACCAGACCTACGCTCAAGTTTCTCTAAAACTATGCCATAATCTGAAAGGCCTGTTATTTAAATAGCACCTTTTCAAGCCAAGGAAATCCAAAGTGCTCTACACTACAATCAAACATTCTCACACTCATGGTGGCAAGCGACACGACAGCCACAGCTTCCCTAGGACACTATGATAGTTGAGAGGCTGCTGTACACAAGCACCACCAGGACCTCTGAAATTCGTAGGCAATGCAGGCAAAATATCTTGCCCAGCGTCACAATGATGCAGGTGGATTGAGCTGGGGTTTGAACTGGTGACAGTTACAAGCTTCCACACCAGTAGCTCACTCTGTTTGCATACAAAGAATTTCTGATTTAGTAAACTTCAGTGTTTTCAGTATTCACCTTAACACATGACTCAAGGTACAGGGAAGTCATTTCCCCAGCAGAGGTGTGGAAAGAAAGAGGAAGTAAATGTGAAAAAGTCTAAATAATACTTAATTCCAAGATTGAAATGACATGAATAGGGCTGTGAGTATAATACGAATGTTGAGGTTCACTGCAACATGAGCCAAAGCTGCCAAGCTGATTGATACGGTAGTAAGTACCGCCAGCAGATAGCAACGGCATACAACAATTTTATGTCTGTCAATCACACCTGAGAGGTGTTCCATAAAACTGGCAGGCTTATTTGGCCAAGGTCTGCTTATTTTGTTGTCATTTGGGTTTTATAAAGCTGGCTCTCACTAAGTATGACTTAGTCACTGTGGCAATTGACCAAGTGAACTTAGCCTGAATGGGACCAGTTTTAGTAGCCAACCAACTATGTGTCTTCTTTGTTGAATTCAACACCAGGGGAAACAGAAAGGAAATTAAAGACATAATTTGGTCCAAATGGAGTCATCAAAATGGCAAAAAGTAATAAACTACAATCTGCATCCATCCATCCATCCATCCATCCATCCATCCATCCATCCATCCATCCATCCATCCATCCATCCATCGTCACATCTCCAGCAGTCTATGGGAGAAAAGCGGTGTACACCCTGGACAGGTCATGAACTATACACATTTATTTTTGTCTACTTCAGCAAATATATTCACAATTATGGAATTTACAAATCATATATACAAAATATCTTTAATATGTTGTGTGTTTCACTTTGTGATCAAACTTTGCCCTAGTTCATAAAAGGCATCCTGTCCATTTATAGAAGAGGTCATGAAAGAAGGATCTGCTTTGAGTAGAGCACAGCATCCTGTTCCTTCAGGGATCAAATTTACACTTTGTCTTCACTGACATATCTGCATGAACGTTACCAGATTTCTAGGGAAGGATTAATTGAATTGACCGCCCTTAATTTGGCCTCAGCTCCACCACTGAACAGCTTGTCTCATATTATAACTGCAAAGTCTTTGTTAGGTCGCTTTTTTTTTATTTACTGCAGCTGCAATATCACTATAGTAATTGGAATGTGAAAATATTGCACAGATTTCAAGTGCCTGAATCATTGTGTTAAAAATAGAACTTTTACTGAGCTCACATTGGAGAAATTTAGAGACACAGAGTGGCAACTCTGTGGGAGTGGGGCTTGAAACCCAGAACCTCAGGATTCCAAGCTCTATGCCCTAACCACTAAGCCGCCACCACCAACAAAATTAGGTTTTATAATTTAGTTTTTATTTGTTGCAAGGTGAGTATCCCATCACTGGTGTCACCAAAAGACTTAAAAAGAGGAAAACGGTGTTGATTTCTACATGATTGACTGCAAAGTTTGCTTTGTTGAATCTGTCTTGCATTAGGTACATTAATATGATTAGATATGGCAATATATATTTGTGTATTAGGTTCTAATAATAATAACAATAATATATATATTCCAATATAAAGCTAAGGGCTAGATTGTGTAAATTATGTTTGGTTCAAAGTTATATTGGGAAAAGTTCTCTCAAGACATTCCTCTCAAAAACAGGGTTTTTTTGACTACTACATTCAAGTTGTAATTTTGCAACAATTACAAAAAAAACTAGATAAAATGAAGGGCACATTTTCCACAACAACTACATATATACATGCTGTAGACACTGTAATAAATACAGAAAATAATATGCAAAGCCTTTTACTTCAATCAGATAAATCCAGTCCGATAAATCGAGAGGATGATGCTCAAGCAGAAATCTGGAGGTTGTATGACTTCTAAACCTGAGGGCGGGCCTTGTTTACAAATGTAGGACCCAATAGCATTGCAAGACCAAACATGACCCAATGAGTATATTAATGTAGTTGAACCAAGAAAAACAATTAAAAGTTGTAATTCTGCAACAGTGGGTCTTACAGGATTAAACAAGACATTATTCTTTAACTAGTTGATACTGGATCTGAAAACGTTATCAGGATGAGCACTTGAGTTAGGTTCCTTTATTCTGACAAAAGCATATAGTTTTCTGGATTATCTATGCACAACATGACAGGTTTATGGCAGGGACTTTTAAAAGCAAACGCAGATTAGAAACAAAATCAGTGACATCTGTTATTCTGGAAAGGGTTGACAATTTGTTTGTGAGACTTTTGGGACCATTACCCACAGTGAGAGCCATTGTCTATGAATGGGGGAAAAAACAAGAAGCAGTGCCAGAGATTCTTAGGTGTGCCTGATTTACCAAAATTACTCCAAATGAGCACTGCTGACTCATCCCCGAGATCGCAAAAGAAATTCAGGACAAACAACCCTAAACAGTTTATCTCAGCTTAAAGCTATTGTCTCCTTACGCCTCCAGGGCCCACTGAGACCAAATACGGCACTGCAGCCTTAACTGGCTGCAGTTTAGGTCAGAGCTAATGATTCTATCATGCACATAACCTTGCATTTCAGACAGTGGATGCCATGCCAATAATCAAACAAGGTGGTGGTGGTGTGATGTCTGAAGTAGTTTTTTCCATTACATATGTGCTCAAAACTATGTTAATATTCGGCTAATTCTGAAAATGCAAGGTTTCGTAATTGTGGTATTTCCATTGAATAACAAATTCCAAATTGCGCGTGAGTACGTTTGTCCATGCAACAACTGTGAAAGCAACATGGCAGCATTGGATACTGTATATCCATATCCATATTTTATCCACGGCTGTAGTGGGCCCCATCATCCTCCAAATATTTCCAGTCCTCTTCGTCTTTTTACCAGGAAGTTAGGTCCAGTTGCAGATCTCTTGTGATTGGGGGAAAAAAAGTGTTTCCATTGCAGTTCTGCAAAATGTAAGAATTTTGATAACTGAAAAACAACCTCATTAAAAAACGTGTTTCTTTGAAATGCAGTCTTTCCATATAGGAAACTTATTTTCGTAATTACAATTTTTAAAGTTTGATGGTTAATGGGAATGCAGCTAATGATCCAACGCACACAAGTAAGTCTTCTTATATAAAAAAAAAATGAAGGTCTGGACGGGCCTAGTCAAAGTGTCAACAGAGATTTGACTGAGAATGTTCTGATGACCTGAAACAAACTGTTGGCCAAAAATCCCCCTCTGTAGTTTAATACACACATTATTACGGTAATTATTACAAACGTCTTGGCCTCATTTACTGCCAATGGTGAAACAACCTTTTAATAGGTTAAAGGTTAAGTGGACCATTTCTTTTTCCAATTGCACCAAATTGGTTTGGCTTTATTTATTTTCTTCTCAATACATGAAATCATCATTTGGAAGCTATTTTGCTATTTGTTTAATGATCAGATGAATTTAAGAGTGATAAAATAGCAAAAACACAGAGTAACTGTGAGGAAGAAAATCATTTTTTGCAAACAGTTCTCTTACAAAAAAAATCAAAACCTGTCTGTGTGTTGATCTTCATGACAGATTTGGGGCTCACTGCCATTCACCTCCACAGCTCAGCTGCATAGTAATATGCTCTACAATGGCAGCTTCATTCAGGGAGAAAAGTGCATCATTTGAACTTCTTATCTACTCAGAAGAATTCAAAATGTAAAGGCCTGCCTGATAAAAAGCATGTTTTCTCCCACTAGAAATGGGCAATAAGTAGCAGGGTGAATGTTAAAGAGGGCTTTGGAGAAGGCCTCCTTTTCCCTTCTTCAAGGGATTACTGCTCTTTAAGTCGGCAAAAACATCAATGCAGGTTTATTTAAAAGGATGAAGGAATTTTCTGAATGGTATTTTGGGGCCGTATCATCGGGTCTTGAGTGAGGATTAGTGCTGTTAGGCATTTTGAGCTCTGTTTCCTGTCCTGATAAGTTGGATTTCATCTTCAATCTGCGTGTAAGCCGTGGGCTCTGCTCCTCCTTGCCTGCCTCTGAGGTTCTAGCCTGGCCTCATCCGGCCCAAACCAAACCCGCTACTTCTATACCTTCCACAATTTGTGCAATCCAGCTCAGCTCTGCTCACAGCTCCTCTGTCGTCATCCACCATTTATTTCTTCACACTTTCTAACTCATCTTTTATCATGCACATTTTTAACCGAGCATTGTATGCTGAATTCACCAGCTCCCTATTCCCAAAGATGTTTTTTATTTATTTTTTTTACCCCTTCGCATCTGGCTGGTATTTATCATCCCGGGTTCACACTGAAACCATTTGGCAGTTGGATCTGCGGGTGATGAGGTTAACTACTAAAGTTGTATGTAACTTGGAGCCTTCCGTGTGATGATTAATCAACCAGCAGAAAATGAGCCCCTGTCCCGGCATCCCATGCAGTGTGCAGCATCTGTGATGGTCAGGGCAAACAAATGGCTTTCTGCTTTTGTTCCTGAGGACGGAGCATAACTGGGCATTATGGGCTATTAATTTTACATGACTTCATCTGCAGAGTCCCCACCAGCAAATGGAAGAGCACCAACCTGCATACTGTAATGTACAGCAGAACTGCTCACTTGAGGGGAAAATTATTTTTTAAATGAAAATTCGGCGTTTGTTGAAAAATAAATTGATTATGAAACTAGGAACCAATCCCTACTAAAATACAGTAAGCTTGCCCTAATGTTTTGGATGTGTTAGATCGGCAACAATGTGTCTTTAAAGTGATCTTGCGTGTGTGTGTGTATATATATATATATATATATATATATATATATATATATATATATATATATATATATATATATATATATATATATATATATATATATATATATACGAATTGTGAATAATGTTTACCAAATAAACTTATCTTTCCTGTCCAGTTCCCCATCCTCAGAAGCAGCTTTCCTACAACACCTCCAAGGCAGGAGTGGTCAAGATGACTCAGACTTTAGGAACCGAATGGATCGACAGAGGCGTTCGTGTCAACTGCATCTCTCCGTGAGTCTTTGCTTTTATGTAGGAACACAATTTTTCACCTTTATCATTGTCATGAGGAAGCAAGCAGCTAAACGAGGCAGTGATTAGCGTGTTTGATTTCAGAGGAGAGCGCTCGCTTTGAGAGCGAGGCGCTAATTTATGTCTGCGTACAATGCTTCAGTGCTTAATTAGATGACATCTTAAGGGACGAATCAACCGAGCACTTGCTCTAATTGTTCTGTACAATTAGGGAATCAGATTTGCAACTTTGCTCAAAACTAAACTGCAACAAAGCCATCTTGTTTATATCTATGTGCACGTTTGAAAAAGGTGGAATAAAGCAGAGAACACATGAGGGGCTTTCTGTGTTAGCGTGTTAAAGTGGAAGGGTGAGGAGGGGGTTGATGGTAAGTGGGGCCTTCTTTAGCCCCAGCCATCCCAGAGTAAATCCATCCACCATCTCTGGGCCGAACCAGGCCCAGTCAGATCCAGAACTAACCGCTCGCACAGGTGTGTCCAACTTTATTTATCATGTGCTTGTTTGCTCATTTTAATTAGCACAGAAGCCATTCTGTCTCTCTAACCTCTCCCTTCCCACCCTCTTGCTAACAGGGTGTCTCAATGGGCCGCTGATTTCTTTGAAGTGACGTTCGGTAAATATGCATAAAAAAGGGACACAATTAGCGCTGGCGAGGTTGACTGGAGCCTGATTCCATTGGCAACTTTAGCTGCAGTGGTGATAAGCTGCATTATCTAGAAAATTGGCTGAGGGAAAACAGCACCTCTGATTGCCAGGAAAGGTTCCAGATAACAGGGCGGCTGAAGAGAAATATAATTGAGGTGGAATATGTTAACCAGGGTGTCACACATGCTCCTTGGAAGCGCTAATTTAGCAAAATGTTGGAATTCTATATCAAGGCGACGGGATGGATTGAACAATGATTCGGGCATAATGGCTTTAGTCACTGTCACGGTGATTACACTGGGAGTCAGGAGTCGCCTCATATCGAGTGGAGATGGGTATGTTGACATGTTTATTTACAATGCATTTCAGATGAAAGCTCTGTGATATGCAAATATAGATGGTGGATGTCTAGTATTTTTGTTCTGGTAAATTGTAGCTAAAAAGAAGCTAAAAGCTCAGTTTCAGATGGAAAATGTAAGCCTAAGCACGAGGGAGCCGAACACAGTGAGTAGATGGCTGTGAGGAAAATTACACCAGACGTCTCCCCATACCTGTGGGCTTCTCCAGGGATAAGCCAGTCAATAAAGGGCCTCCAGCCCCACAGTAAATATCAGAGATGCCATGTCAAGGCCGTTCTTCGTGGGATAATTGGTTTTATTTGTGTCACCGAAGTGGTGCCTCTGAAACAATGCTGTCACTCCTGGCTCTGCGCCGTGATGCCTTCTGATTTCATTAAATTTTTTTTTTCTTCTTCTCTCTCGCTTCTCTTTTTCAGGGGGATTGTTGACACCCCTCTCATCCACTCTGAGGATCTGAGGCCTCTGGTGCAGCGCTGGCTGTCAGATATCCCTGCTGGTAGACTGGCTCAAGTGACAGACCTGCAAGCCGCAGTGGTCTACTTGGCATCTGACGTCTCTGACTACATGACAGGGCATAACTTGGTCATAGAGGGTGGGCAAAGTCTGTGGTAGAAGGCAGGACATGAAGACATTTTTTTTTCTCTCCTTTCACTCTCAAAGTTAGACTCAGAAATATGAAGTTTTACAAAACGATACTTCCCTGTTTAGTTTGGCCTTACTTAATTATTCAATTGTTTTCACTCTTTTTATTACATTACAACCAAAATTTTGTATTTTATTGAGATTCTATGGGAAATCATTTCAATAGAAAAATATTGTAGCCTTCTTGTATTTCATCCATTTGAATCTGGCATCACTCAAGTTGGTTAAATATATGTATTGTATTGTTATATGTAAAGACAAACGGGTCAACAATTCAGAAAAATCCAAGAACTTAAATCTGGTAGTAGAATTTGTCAAGAGATATCCTGCTTCCAAGAATGCAAACCCAAGCACACAGGCTGAGCTGCTATGCTATCCAATTTCTTGAAGGTGAAGGTGAAACATCCCAATTTAAAGCAGACTTTTGCAGCCTCTTGGATTGCCCTGCGTTGTATCTCACAATGGCCAAATCAAACTTGAGATCTAAAATCTGTTAGGATTTTTTCTCAAGAGGTATGTAACCAGAAATATGTGCAGCCACAACTGCAGAAACATATTTCACTTTAATTTTTATTACTGAAAAAAATTCAAATTATTTATGACATCCCATCCAACTCAAAGCCATGCTCTATTTTGTTTACATGTAATAAATAAAATCCAAGCAAAAAATATGTAAATTAATGATTGTGGCAGACATACTAAAATGTAAAACAACTGAGATGTTTCTGTGATGCAGGTCTTAGTTGTATTTTTTTCCCTGTAATCTGTATCAGAGGATTGAGTGACACCATCTTAATGACTATAGTTGTGGTAAACACCTTTAATAATACCTATGAAATCAGCAGGTTTAGATTATTTTTAAAGGTAGCCCAAAAAATAAGCATGATATAAAGTGGAGCTGTAACACACAATGGAAGCATTTCTAGCAGTGAAACCTGAAAATAAAAGTTGCTTTGTAAACTGATTCTGCGTCTGCTTTAGAAGCAAATGATTGTCTGTGATTTAGTTCTTTAAATCCAGGAAAAATTATGGGTTTTTTGTACCCGGTTCCCATATCAACCCCAGTGCTCCCTTTTGGCTCAGGATTCATGTGTCTCATCCTGTTTGTGCTTTCAGCACCCACCTCTCTCTGGCTCCATCTTACCTCAGGTTCCCCACAAGTGGTCCTTTCGTGCACCATCTTAATTGCTCCATTAACTGTTTGTGTGCTGTACCAAAAAAAAAAAAAAAGCACTCAAATGTTGGGTCATCCAAGGACGAAACCCCGGCTGCTGCAATTATATGAAAAATAGTGGCCAATTAGTGCTCTTTTGCATTGTTGACACCGTTGGTGTTTATGTGAGCGACTTCAGGTTCTCGCTGGTAGTGGCCGCTCTCAGATTTACATAATTGGGGGATTGGTCATTAATGGGACTAGCGTGTGAGAGGATCCCATTAAGATATGGAGAGAGATCTGATCTCACTCCACAGCTCTGTGCTATTTATCTCTGGCTGGACTGGCAATGCTGGCAATTATTAGGTTTCTTATCCTTTCATTTTTTTTCTTTTCTTTTTTGGTAAAATACCAAACTTTGTCCCAGCATGGGCTCAAGACTGCAGATTTTGATCTCAGTAGTTTTCTGTGCTGTTTTGTTGTGTCACCACTGAGGGGCAGCAGTAAGTCAAGCAGCTGTAGCACTCTGACAGTTATTGGAAGAGATCATATTATTTGCCCTCATACTCTATACGGTTAAAACTGATCCCTTTTTTTGCAGGTGGAGATTATCACCAGTTTAGGCAAATAAATACCAACTTGTGTGAGTGAAGTAGGGTTTTAAACTTCAGCTATGTTTAGAATAAAGTAAAAACCTAATGATTGAGTGTGAATCCAGTAATATTTACTTAAAATGGTCTGAAAAACAATTAGGGTTTTAAAAACAATAGATTAAGCATTTTCGGCATTTTAAATGTTTCATTACACTCTTTTTGATAGAGGAGAACGATAAACTGACTTAGCAAAAGGAGCAACTTTAATATTAATATTTTAGTTGTAAGGGGGAGGGGGGGTATAAGATACCATAGCCTTTGAGAAAAAGTATTCCCCCCCACCCCCTAAATAAAAACTGGAAGTGGCACTTTTTTCACCAATCATGCCATCAAGCAAAATGTAATTACATTTTTTTGCAAGAAGTTGTTCATTGTATGTTATAGAATTGCTTTAATTCAAGTTAAGCTTAACTGTCATGTTTTGTGTGAGCTTTCCGACTGAATTATTGCAAAAATTTGTTTAGAGTAGCTGACATGTAGATTACCAAATAAAGGCAAAACAGGAAAAAAATATCTACATACAAATCAATCCTTTACACTGAAGCCTTAAGAGGTTAGCTCATAAGGAACCAAATTTCATTAAAATATACTTTTCAGGACCGGGACACCCCTAGGCTTAATGCAAACACAATGCATCAGTAGCCTCCCATCAAAGAGATGCAAAGCAGCCTTTACAAACTTCCAGCACTTAACTGTAATTTTTCACCCAGTTATTTTGCCCACCTTCATTTAGTCAAAGTATCTAAACTGTTGTTTTGCCGTCATGTTTTGCACCACATTAACCCCTTTCACAGCCCCATCAGGAGAGGTCTTGTTTTGCTTTCCAACTGCTGCCAAAAGAGCCAAATCTGTAATTTGAGCGGCAACACATGATCTCTTGAATGCAATAACCCGCTACACGAGGTGTAAGTGATCTTGAATCCATTATTTATCACCTCCTTTCGATGCCATTATGCTGAAGAGTGGGACCCTGTTGTACAAAGTGCTGTTGTGCTAAACAGATCGGCAGCAGGAAAAGGGCACTTGCACCCTCACTCTTCAGCTCAACTTTGATTAATGCTCCGCTCTGTCTCGGCATGAGACGTTTTACAGTGGTGGCCGGGAGGAGGGAGACCTGGGTCGATGCTGAACAACATCATAAGGCCGTATGTGTCTGGGTGACGGGGAGACCCAAGGGTTTATGGATGACATATTAACATTTGACAACACCAATAGAGTTAATAGATGGATTAAGGCATTCTTTTACGTATCCGCTCAGCTAAGTGTTTCAAGATGAAATGTTATCCTCTTATAAATTGTGCTGCACCTGCTGATACTATCATAAGAGGTAGAACTGTACACAGCCAAAGAGAGAGAAAATGTCAACTTCTTTATTGTGAGGAGTGAGTCAAATTCGGAACTTACATTCTGTATTAGGAGAGTTTTATTTGTATAACATGAAAAATCCTTATTTCTTTTTTGGGTTGTATTTTATTAAAAAGTGTATTACACTTATTTTATTGTTGAAAACTGTTTATTTATTTAATTAAAGGTGGATAATCAGGTCCAAAGCCTGCGGTGAAATCAGTTCTAACCATTTTCATTTCCTGCTCTACAACACAGAATAATCACATGGTTAAGTGAACAGGATGAAGGAAAACAAGACATGTTTTTTACTTTCTGGAGCTGGATTATCCAATTATGGATTTAATAGACAGTAAGTGACTCAATAAATGTTCTGTGGGTTTTAGAAATTAAAGGTTTTCCAACATACAGTTCAAATATCTCATTTTGATTAAATGATTAAGTAGATTAAGGTATTTGGGGGTTGTTAAGTGAACTTACAAAAAAAAGCAATAATTAGATTACACTGAAATTAAACTTGTTTGCCAACCTGAGAAGCCCTACTCACACTTACATTAGCATAACCAGCCATTGGCTTACAGTAAGTCAGACTGGGAAAGCGGAAAACTTTCCTCTCTTAATGGACAGGACCAATTAATGCGCGGGAGGCAGGTCCATAATGCAACAGCTCTTTTCTGTAACCATAACAATAAAAATTTTTGTAGCTGCATTGGAGTAATGTTTTCATAATGTCCTTTACTGTGTCCTAAAGAACTGTTTCTATTTGTTCAAATTTTATCTACTAGCTACTGTGAGATTTTGGTTCACATCCGTAATTATCCACCGACTATGTTAGTCCCCCTTTTGATGTGTAACTCTACTTGTTCCTATTCAGTCTAAAATATGCTGTCTACAGAGTAAGCCAGGCTAACTAACACCTCCTCCATGGTGTGGGCAGCATGATACTATGGGGATACTTCAATAGGGACAGTGCAGTTGCTCTGAATTGATAAGGTTGAGCTAAATACAGGATAATCCTGAAGGAAAACTAGTTAAAGGCTGCAAAATAAAGTGGATGCCTCCATCTCACAGAACAAATATGGTATATATTCATTTATATAATCCAAATGAGAGCCTATAGGAAGATATTAAAATATCAACTCCATGGAATCTGACTCAGCTGCAATTTTTCTTTCAAACAAAAATGGCAAATTTGTCTTTTCTAAATCCAAAGCCTGAAAACAATATATGTGATAGACTTGCAGCTATAATTGCAGTGAAAGTGAAATGCAAACTACATTAGTTTGACTATTTTTTGCAAAGAATGTTAAAAACCAGTCGTCATCTTTTAAATACAAATAATGTTTTTTCTCTGTTACTGTTATGGGCTTTTTGGAGTGAAATGCAAGTTTATGGTTTAAATGTCAAATACTTGTGAATGTTTAAGGGTATATAAGCATTTGGTGTTCGCATTAGATACCAAGCATGACAGGACACCCTAGCTTTTTGAGGAACCAGTTACAAGAATTACTTTTTTTTTTTTTTTTTTATGTCAATTTCTACATTCAATGACAAGAAATCTATATTTTACCATCCATGCAGACTATAAAAACAATTTATTTTTTGCTGCACAGTATGGGGATTGCTACGTATTCAATGGTCTGATTGTTTAAAGTTTACTCATTCGATTGCCCGAATGGTTACACTGTGGGTAGGTTTAGTGATGCTGTGTTGTTTATCTCAACTCCAGAATTAGATACTGCTTTTTAAATAAAATTCTCCTTATTCTTTTTTCCTACAGTCAGCTTTTTGGGGAAACTTATTTTTTAATAGTCTGAGCAATTTCTGCTAAACAGTGAAGTGATATTCACCTAAAAGATTAAACTCATATGTTTGCCATCTAAATATTTATTCTTTTGTTGTTCTCCAAAATTGTGCATTGTTATGAAATTTGTACAGCATCATCTTATGCTCTTTGAATGTATCAGGATGAGGTCAAATGTGTACAACCAATTTTACAACAAGTCATTTGAAATAAACTGCAAAGGAGTTTC